CAGCCTGTTTCACACAGGAGGTCAGAGTAAACAAACCCAGGGGCCACATCCACTGATGACGAGTTCCCGAATCTCTGCTAATAATCAGTAGCAGAAGGCTTCTAGGTCGACTCAACCCAGTAATTAACACTGACAATTGGGCAGGAAGGAGTGGGAGAGTAAGTACAAAAAAGACAAATTCAAGGGATTAAATTTCTCCTCATGTGTGACATAGTCCTGATGAAGCTTGTCCCAGTAGGGTCCTGAAAAGGGGAGCATGAGGARCTCTGYGTGGCTCAYGTGTGAGCAGTGGTGGGAGGAGGATCAAGATTTCCAGCACTGGAAGGCCGAGTTGCAGCAGGAGAGAAACCCCTGCCCTGGGCTCCTCATCCCTGACTCYYYYTCCCCAYACAGGAGGAGCTGTCCAATGTCAACCTCTCCAAGTTCCGCAAGATCCAGCACGAGCTGGAGGAAGCYGAGGAGCGGGCTGACATTGCAGAGTCACAGGTCAACAAGCTCCGTGCGAAGAGCCGCGACTTTCAYGGCAAAAAAATAGGAGAGGAAGAGTGAGAATGTCAMGAGGCAGCAAAGTGACCTGAGGGCAGYGCAAAATGTGAACCCTCTGTCACTTCCTTCTGCACAAAGTGTTTATAACCATGTTAATATGTAGAGAATAAAGACCATAGAATTCTTAGCATACACAGCAGAAGCAGTGCTTTTTGGTTATTACAATTCAATTCAGCAGTCACACAAGTTTGGGGCATTTTCAAATGAAATATTTAGTTTCACTTTAACCCTTGGGTAGCAGTAGAGCTTTACTTATCTGCAGTATTTCTCGACTRTCTTACTTCATTACCAAGGAGGAAACAAGACTAATTTAATTTCCATATTGGGAGAGGATCAGGACAAAGGCAGRACAAGTACCTTTTCTGTCTTGGCATAGCAAAAGTGTTTCTGCCTTTGTGAGTCCTKTTTCAACATGGGTATAGTACTCAGAGGTTCTCATTGGTAGTCCCATTATCACTTAGGCAAGTGGTATTTAGAGACTTGCCCTAAAGAAAAACGTCTGTAGTCCCAAAAACATCTGGATGTCTCTGGGTCCTTATGGARGAACTTATGCAAGGACAGAGATGCTGCTTCCTTTGAACAAGGCAAGTAAAGGSCAGAAACTCTAAAGAATGGCTTGTTACTGAGCAAATTTAAAGCCTTGATAATGACTTTATGAATAAGGTCCTGGCAACCAGTTCTAAAGAAAAACAAATAATATATTATTTGGATAAGAGGATATAGCAGTGCTTTACTTCCTCTTGRGACAGAATAGCCAATATCAATATAATATGTTCCTGTTGTAAATTAAATTGAACTTAATGAACAGCTTGGCAGAAKTGTGAACAGGAGGATAAACCCCAAGCAGTGTAACATGTAGAGCCACCAGAACAAGCTGGGAACAGCTGCAGTACTGTATAGTATTTTTTAGTACTGAAATRTGTAAGCTTTTGTGCTAAGGAATAATTAAGAGTTACGTACAAATTAAAAAGGAGCTTGTTTTCATCATGCAAATCTTCAACTGAGAATAATATTGAGAACATCACAACTTRAAAGAAATCATAAAACCTAACACTTTACAGAGATAAAAATCCACAGATAATAATGACAAGCTGTGTCCTACCTGTCTGACTCTTGCAGTGCTGGGTAAGTGGAATGTAGATACCAACTGCATTTGGGCTGAACAGAGAAGAAACAAGACATCTGCACAAGATGTACTGCTATGAAAAGCTGTTTCCTGCAAGGCAAGAAGCAGTACTTAAAACAGGGACCCATTTTTGTGGCAATACTGGACCCTGGCACATTGCATAGCTGGCCTAGGGCAGATTCCACACACAGAATACAGTTTCTCATTTTACCATTGTAAAGGAGACTTGGCTCTATCACACTAGAGGAACATTTGAGGGCCCCTCAGTGCTCCTGGCTAGGTCTACACCTCCTGTTTAGGGACAGTGCTTCAAGGTGCTGTGAAACGGCTGGGGAAGGGACCTGGAGTTTTTGGAAAGGAGATGGCGAGAAGACAGCAGGGAGGAAGCCTTTTGCACTGACCATAGCAGTCAGTGTGTATGTAGCAATAGCATACAGGATTGGGAGGTCTTCCTCTTCCCAAACACACTGAGGTTTACACCCAAGGAATCCTCCCATTTTATAACTAAATATGGAAGTAATTTGCTAGGCAGCAGCTAAACATATTTAAGGAGAAGATGACGCCCTGTATGGACTCCTGTGTCACTGTAAGTGATGCTCCTCAGAGATGGCATCTCTGTGTGTGAAGCTGTGAAAACTTCATCAGTGCCAGTGATACCTGGGCAACAAGGAAAGCAAATYACTCCTCTCCTTTCCCCCTTCCCACAGTATGCTCCCAAGAAACAGGTGGAATTSTTTCTTTCCTTACCTGCCACACCTTGACAGGAAGCAAGAAAATTTTACTTGTTCTAAAGCACGTATTTCTTTGAACAAACAAACCAACAAACAGCCTCAAAAACTTAATTCAAAAGGCAGTATTGCAACAGTGTGTAAGTGAAAACATGGGGAAGTGTTTCCAGCTCCATCTGTACATCTTTTAACCTGCTGACAGACTAGCAAATACCACAACAACTTTGGAGACCATAKTTCAATGCCAAAAATCCCTGTTCCCTTGGGAAAGTATTACAGTCACGCTCAAAAATGAACAAGCTGCTCTGACTGTGGAAGAATCATGATGCACTTGAAGTGCATGTGAAACTGTTAGAGCTTCTCTCTCACCTGTAAGAAATTATGGCCTAAGGATTTCTTCCTAAATGCTCAACTGATGAAAGGTAACATTGCASGTTCCTTAAGAGACAACACTTTGGGCCAGAATTCAAACTGCACAGGTGGGAAAGGGAGAGAAATCACACACACTGCACTGTGCTGACCCAGCCTTGCCACCAAGCCATCCTGGAAAGCATGGGTGAAGACTTTGGAATCAGAGCAGAATATTAATGGGATGAGTAAGGAAAACTAATTTCTCCTCACTTTTGATTTGCTGCCTTAGCTGGAGGTCAGGCGTCATTTTGCATCAACACACTATTTCTGGAGTCAGACTGCTTGTGATCTGAAATGTGCTGATGCACAGGTAACTGATCTTGGGAAAAACATGGGCCCRTAACAGGCATAAAKGAACATCTCTAAGAGAAGGTTTAAAATAGATGCAGCTGATGAACTCTGCTAGAGCTGCTGCCTCATGTGGACTATGGASTTCTCTGACCTTAGACAGCTTGGGCATRGACATGCTCTGTCTCCTGGGCACAAAAGCATCAGCACTTTAAGAGGGACTAAGACATGGAGAAAATATTTCTGACCTTAAGAAAGAAGTTCCTTACAATAATCACAGAATCTGCTGAGTTGAAASGGACACATAGGGATCATGAAATTCAGCCCATAGGTGAATGRCCTGTRCAGGGATTGTGYGCACAACCTTGGCATTATTAGCACCATGCTCTGCCCAACTGAGCTAATAATGCCAGATACAGCTTTTCACTGTCCATGCCCTCAGCCCACAGCAACATTGCCTTGACCAGAAAAGGCTTTCTTCCCCAATGACAGTAAAGAACAGGACCAGAGAGTGAAAGAGAGAAAGGAAGAGAGAAGCAAAGGAGAGAGAGKAAGGAGAGAGGAGGATGAGTGGGGTTGGGAGCAATTGAGAGAAAGGAACACAGAAAGAGRATGAAACTTGGAAAAAGGCAGAGAGAAAGGAGGGGAGGCAGGGAGGCAGGAAACAATTTAACATCATTTGGCTGTTGGTACCTGACCTTGGACTTAACTCTGCTGCTTTTGATCATCTGAGACAGTGTTTGCAAGTTACATCAGCCCTCTCCAAGTATCTGAGTCACGGTGTGAGTAGCTGCTGTTCCCAGGTGCAGAATAGTGGCTGCATAGGCCAGAGGTGTGATAAGATCAAAAGGATGAAGGAAACTCACTTGGAAGGGACTGTCACATACCTACCCTCTGMAAGGGGAATTGTCACTGCTCTTGTGAACCACTGTCCACCCACCCATATCATGCCCAATGCCCTACAATGGGTGCCTTACTTAGAAGACCAAGAAAGTGTCTCTGTTCTCTGAATCTCTGCTTTGTCCTCGCACTGCAGGAGGGGCAGGCAGGTTGTGTCTTGTGCCTCCTCACATCCCATGTCCCTGTGAGCCGTGATGTTAAAAAAAAAAGGCTGAAAATTCTGAAGTGGTGCATCTTGGGAAAGCAGAGATGTTTGTGGGGACTGGGAGGGCAGGTTCGGCGTGGGACACTCCTTGAAAAGCAAAGAGTGTAAGACCATGTCAAGCTCTCAGTGAGATGCTATTTTACAAGGTAAATATTTTATGGGTAATTCTTTAAAGCATATTTTGTGAATGGGGCCTTCATGCAAAAAAGTATGCAATACAGAGCAGTAAGTTCACAATGTTTCTCCTCAGAACTTCAATCTGKGCACAGCACTTGCATAAGTGTCCTGCAGAACAGTGACACTATATCCCAACATATAAACCAAAATGTCCTTGTGAGCTAAGAAATAATTAAAATTCTTCTTTTAATGAAGGAAAATCTGATCCTGGGCTGCATCCATAAGGGTGCTACCAGCAGAGCTAAAGAAGTCATCCTCCCACTCTACTCAGCACTTGTCAAGCTGCAAGTGCAGGACTGTGTCCAGTTACGATCACTGAGATTTCAAGAGAGACAAAGAACACAGAGATTTTCTAAGCACTGAAGAACCTGCCTTATGARGAAAGACTGAAGGAGTTAGGTCTTTTCTCCCTGAAACAGAGAGGGCTCAGGGGGTAGCCTCACCATAATTTTCCAGTACTTAAAGGGTGCTTTAAGAGGACACAGGTTCTCTCTTCACAAGGAACCTCATAGACAAATGAGTGCAAGTTGCACAGAGAGAAATTTAATCTTAATTTAAGAAAGAAAATCTTACACTGAAAACAGTCATTCACTGGAGCAAGTGCCCTAGAGAAAGGMGTGGGCTAAGGCCAGCCCACATCACTGGAGGCTTCCACAGTGTGACTGGACAGGSTGCTAGATAGTCTCACCTAAACTCCCTTTCCCATCAAAGTCTGGGCCAGATGATCTACTGAGGTCCCTTCCAACCTGGATTGTTCTACAATGCTAYGATTTTTTGATATTTCATAAAGAAGGTTGCTGCAAAAGTGATGTAATGTCTGTCTAATTTCCATTCATAGCCTCAAAAGAGTCAGGCTTGAAAATTAAGCTGATATACTGCCATGCCAAGGTGTTTGTGTTTCTATTATATGTGAGTCATACCTTATTATATTTTTTTTATTCTCTCAGTACAAGCTGGTCATTTTTTCTAATACTGAACTTTGAACATTGAATTCTGTCATTTCTGCTTCACTTTGCAATATCTCAGACATTTCCAGACACTAATCTTCCTCCTGTTGGCTTCTCAGTCTTTCAACCCTACTAATCTTCTATGTAACTGAAGCTCCAATGTGTGGTGAAAAAAGTATCCTCTATATCATGCTCATATTATTTAGAACGCTGCTCAGATG